AACTTTATTAAGATATGAGATTTTTCCATCAAGGTGGCATGTACCAATGCCGTCTCACTAGTTCAAGTGATCAACTTCAGTTCACAGTTGATCACACTGATAGGTCTAAGAGTCAAAGGGATCACACAAACAAGACTAGTGTCTGCTAATACTAACTGATAGAATAAAAAAGGGAGAGAACGATCCAACATGGGAAACAGGATACACAGCAGACTCATAGAATGGCGGATGTCCTAAACAGCACTCTGGCCTCAGAATCAGCCCTTAAGGCATTCGGATATGGCTGAAGAGCCCATGAGAGTGTTTTAGGCATGGAAAGCCAAGACATTCTGGGAAAAAAAAGAAGAAGACCTAAATGAAAGATCTCTGCAAGTGAGATCCCAGTGGAAAGAATGGGGCCATCAAAAAAGGAAGTACCTTTCTCTGAAGGGAGGAGTGAACTTCCACTTTGACTATGACCCTGTCTGAATAAGATCGAAGTCAGCAAACTCAAAAGGCTTCCATAGCCTTATAGCCTTGGCAACTCATGAGTAGAGCCTAGGGAGATTACTGACACCATAAACAAGAGTGTCAAATTGTTAAGTCAACAACGGGAGTCACTGTGTACTTACTTCTCATGTGGGATCTGTCCTTAATGTGTTGTCCAATGTGAAGTAATGCTATAACTAGTACTGAAACAGTATTTTTACACTTTGTGTTTCTGTGTGGGTGCAAACTGATGAAATCTTTACTTAATATATACCAAATCGATCTTCTGTATATAAAGATAATTGAAAATGAATCCTGATGTGAATGGAATGGGAGAGGGAGCGGGAGATGGGAGGGGTGCGAGTGGGAGGGAAATTATGGTGGGGCCAATGTAATCCATAAACTGTACTTTGGAAATTTATATTTACTAAATAAAAAAAAGAAAAAAAATTTACAACTAAAATGCCTTTAAAAAAAGATATGAGATTTTTCTCATGAAACTTTTGAAGTCCTCTTGTACAATTCACATACCACATGGTACGTTTTCAAATATGATATTTCATTAGACACCTCCAAATGCTTGCAAGAAAGGCACAAAAACATTGTTTCCTCCAGTTTAATGGAAAAGCAAACAGATGGAGGTGGAGTGACTCACCTGAAGGCGCGCTGTGAGCAATCCACAGAGCTGGCACTGGGGCCACTCACACCTTCTGAGCCTCGGTTTCCTTTTTCCTTGTGAGTTGAGTGCAGGTCCCTGCCTCCTGCATCGGAGTTTGTCGAGGCTCCAGGGCAACAAGGAATGTACAAGAGTTTCAGAATGCGCAGTGGGTGGGAGAGTGACAGCGTATGGAGCGCTATGCCCTTTAGGCTAGCAAGGTCACTCTCCTGGTTTTCTATGACATCTCTGACCCTTTCTTCCTCAGGCTATGTTTTCCACCAATCGGGGGACGGTCGGAGGCTTCTTCTTGGCGGGTCGGAGTATGGTGTGGTGGCCGGTAAGTTTTCTTCGAAATGCGATTTGCTTAACTTTGACATTTCCTGCAGGAAGCCATATTTTCTAGGACTTTGGGGTGATACTGATTCCTCCTTCCAGGTCTGGTGAACCCGGTGTGCCGGCGCCACAAGGCGGAGGATTAGCCTAGTAAGCCACGGCGCCGGCCAACCCTTCAGGAGTCTTAAGAGTGGAGATGTCTTATGGAGGGGAAGCTCAATAAATGGTAGCTGTTTGGCGCCCTCTTTCCTATGAGGGACTTCAAAAAGTTGACGCAAAAATGGAATTGTTTTGGAATAAGTTTGTTTCGGTGCAAAAAATTTTGAAATCCACACATACAAGGCATCTTCGAAAAGTTCAAAGGAGATGTGCCTTATGAGAAACTACACGTAAATTTCAAAACTTTCTGCATCATCATCATCTTATCTTTTAATTTCATTTCTATGAATTTTAAAAATATTTAAAATTTGTTTATTTTTATTGAAAGGGAGAGGGAGAGGGCATGGGGGAAAGAGGGAGAGAGAGAAAGAGGGAGAGAGAGACACACACACACACACACACACACACACACAACTTAACTGCCATTCTCTGGTTCACTCCTCAAATGTCTGGAACATTTGGGATTGGGCTGTGCTGAAGCTGGGAGCTGGGAACTGCATCTAGGTCTCCCATGTGAGCGGCAGGAATCCAATGTCTTGAGCCATCAGGACTGCCTCCCAGGGTCTGCATTAGTAGAAAGCTGGAGTCAAGAGCTAGAGCTGGATATTGAACCCAGGTGCTGATATGGAACATGGACACCCTCAATGCTATCTTAACCACTAGAATATGCACCTGCCCTTTCCATGAACTTTTTAAAGTTCCCTCCTACAGAAAAAGAGACTTTTGTCTGTCCTATCTCTGGGGCTTAACTCAGTGCCTGATACATGGGAAGTACTCAATAAATACTGAATGGATGGAGGAAGAACTCTACTATTTTCTATTACTATTACTTTTATATTTTGTATATTTAAGAGGCATTTTCCATGACACAGGATACATGGTTGGAAGTATCCCAATCCAAAAACTTGTGCATAGGTGGAAGAGAAACTAGGAGGTTCCTTCCATCAGACCAGCGCAGAGCTCTTGCTGGTTTATCAATTCAGGCCAAAGACCCTGCTGACACAGAGTTCTTGTGAAGTGACTGGTTGAACAAATTGACCGCACTGTGTAGTTCTTTGGGCTTAAGATACAAGGAAGCTGACTGCTGAAAGATGGAGTAAATGAAGCCTGCACACAATGGGACAGGAGTGCTTGGAGGAAGAGAAGCCAGCGAGTGAGGACTGTCACTGTAGTGAAACATGCAGCCCAGAGAGCTTACCAGGAAGCCCTGCCACACCCTACATTTGTCCTCTGACCAACTATTTTGGGATGGAGTTTAAAAGCCAGCATCTTCATAGTTCCTTGGGTTATTCCCAGAGTCATCTCTATTTCATAAGTTAATACTTTGGTAAATAAACATTGGACAGATTAACAGTGTACAACATGATGTTTTGATATGTGTATACATTGGGAAATGATGAAATCAAGCTAATTACCATATCTGTCACCTGATGTATTTATTTTTTGTGGCGAGAGCACTTAAGATCTAATCTCTTGGCAATTTTTAAGTATACAGTAGATTATTAACCATGGTTACCGTGCTGTGCAATAGACTTCCAGAACTTACTCATCCTGCATGAAACTTTTTTTTTTTTAATTTGAAGAGTAGAGTTACAGACAGAGAGAGGGAGAGACAGAGAGAGAGGTCTTCCATCTGCTGGTTCACGCCCCAAATGGCCAAAACGGTTGGAGCTGGGCCGATTCGAAGCCAGGAGCCAGGAGCTTCTTCTGTGTCTGTCATGTGGCTGCTGGGGGCCCAAGCACTTAGGCCATCTTCTACTGCTTTCCCAGGGCATTAGCAGAGAGCTGGATCGAAAGTGGAGCAGCTGGGACTAGAACTGGTGCTCATATGGGATGCTGGCACTGCAGGTGGGGGCTTAGCCTACTATGCTGCAGTGCTGCCCACCCCTGCCCCCTGCATGAAACTTTGTACCCTTTAACTCTTGTCTCCCACCTGCTCCTCCTTCTGCCCTACCCTTGGCAGCCACCATTCTAGTCCCTGCTTCTATGATTTCAGTTTGTTTAGATTCCACCTTTAAGTGAGACCATAAAGTTATTTCTATCTTATCCTTAAGGAGGCCAAGAACACTGGGCAGATGCTGAATTCTGTGCTGGGTCCCTCTTTGTGATCCCCTCTGACACCTTGGAGGGTAGAGACACTGCCTTTAGATGGCTCCCCTCAGATCTGTGTGAGTGCTTTTTGTATTCTCATGTTTTGGACTTCGGTGCTCTCCTAAAAGCTAGTGTTAGGGCAGCTCTGATCCCAAAGCTCAAGACAAGCTTGGGGTAGGCCCTTTAGAGCTTATTAAAGCATTACAGGATGTGAGGGGTGCATTATTTTAGAGCAAGCCTGCCAAATGCCACACAGACTCAGTTTTACCCAGCTCTCCTCTTTCTTCCCCCAACTCCCCGTGACGGAAACTCTACATTCAAGACAAATCATTTCATTTTTCAGATAGCTATTTTCTCTTCTACTGACTGTAATCAGGATGGAATTATGTCTCTTTGTGTTAAATTTTTATGGCTGATTTATTGAGGATAAGACCTAAACTTCCAATCTCTGGGTCTTTGGAGAAGCCCGCACAGGGTGGAGGAAGTGTGGGGCAGAGTCACCTTCAGGTGCATTTTGAGTGAGATTTGGGAACATGTCACTTCGTAACCAGAAATGACATTTTTTTTTCTCTTCTGATAGTGCCCCAGACTGGATCTGGGCTGAGGGTTTTATGAATGAGAAGGCGTAGGCACACCCAGAGCAGGTAGGGTTGCGTGGTTTATGTGGGGTTTCCTGTGGGTGTTGATTTCCCGTGCATGTCTCAAGACTGGATTATTCGAACCATGGCCTCATTCTTCTTTTGTGCACAAGTCACTGCTTCCTTGATGAGGCTGACATTGACTCTTTTCCCTCCAAGTTGAGCTCATGAGATTATGTTAATGACTTCTACATTTTTAAGGAATTTGTGAATACTCAGACTCATTTTATAGCAAATGCATGATAATTGCAACACAATTCTCACCAATTCTCATGTTAATGTAATACTAAAACAAAGAGAACAGATTCAGTGTAGTTCAAATACAATTCTAAGAATGTAATACTTTCCTTCCTTTCTCCCTCTCTTGCTCTTTCTCTTTTATTTTTTGAGGTAGCATATTTTCAATTTATGTTTTAGTCAAAGACTTACTGTTCCACTAAATAAATAGTTCAGTGAGTAAAAACTAAGAAGATCCTTGTTCAGCAGGAATAGAGACAAGGGTTATAAACAATAATCAAATGACAAGATGACTGTTTCACTAATATACAGTATATTTTAAAATAACCACAGATCATTAAAACTATAGTAGTATATCATTCTTAGCCATTGACTTGACAAAGATATAAAACCAAGTTTGACAAAACCATATTTGCAGCAGTACTGATACACATAGGTATTTTTTTTTCTTTTTACATTTAGCTCCCACAAGTAAAAGGAAACATGTGGTATTTGTTTTTCTGTGTCTGGCTTATTTCACTAAACATGATGTCCTCCAGTTGTATCCATTTTGATGCAGATGGTAGAATTTCATTCTTATTTATAGCTGAATAATCTTCCATTGTGTATACATTTGTACACACACACACACACACCATGTATATATACCACAGACATCCTGGTTAATTCTATATTTTAGCTGTTGTGAACAGAACTGCTATAAACATAGTGGTGCAGGTATCTCTCTGATACAACATGTTCATGTTTTTTGGGTATATACCCAGTAGTAGGATTGCTGGATCCTATGGCAGGGCTACTTCTGATTTTTAAAGAAATCTCCTGTTAATGGTTTCTAAATCTGTCCATGTATCACAGTCACGTGAGATCATGCATGCCCAGCAGTTGGGACTGTGCATAGCGAGTGGTCAATGAGTGGTAACATTAAAAAAAGGGAAGGAGGGGCTGGCACTGTGGCATAGTGGGTCAAGTTGCCACCTGTGATGCCAGCATCCCTTTTGGGCACCTGTTTGTGTCCAGGTTGCTCCACTTCTGATCCAGCTCCCTGCTGGTGTGCCTGGAAAAGCAGCAGAGGATGGCCCAAGTACTTGGGCCACTGCACCCACTTAGGAGACTAGGAAGAAGCTCCTGCCTCCTGGTTTTGGCTTGGCTATTGTGCTCATCTGGGTAGTGAACCAGCAGATGGAAGATTTCTCTTTCTCTCTCTGTCTCTCCCTCTCTCTCTGTAGCTCTGACCTTCAAATAAATAAATAAATAAATAAATATTTAAAAAAGAAAAAGGAAACGAAAATGGAATGGCAAGGCAGGGCCCCTAACTGGCATCTGTATGGTGTACTTAGTACTCAGTACTTAGCAGTGATCAGTAAATGGAAATCAGCACTTAAGTGAATTGATTGCTGCTGATTCTCTCACACTTAACCCTCAGGTTGACCCTGTGAATAAATGAACATGATTTATTTGTGCTGTTGTAAATCATAATTCCAGGTACATGTTGGCTACATATTCACATCTGTTGTAGTCAATCAATGGGAAGCCATTGTTTAACTTTCTTTATTCATGCCACATGGTATGTTTCACCGTAGCTGATGTCTCTGATCCAGTAAAGTATGGTTACCTTCTAAAGTCATTATTTTTAAAAAGATTTATGTATTTATTTGAAAGGCAGAGTTACAAAAAGGAGAGACAGAGAGAGAGGTCTTCCAACCGCTGGTTCACTCCCCAGTTGGCTGCAATGGCTGGAGCTGTGCTAATCCGAAGCCAGGAGCCAGATGCTTTCTCTGGGTCTCCCACGTGGGTGCAGGGGCCCAAGGACTTGGCCATCTTCTACTGCTTTCCCAGGCCATGGCAGAGAGCTGGATCAGAAGTGAAGCAGCCCGGACTC